TGCAAACCATGGGGAATTTTCCGGAGATTTTGTGCACCCCAAGATGAGCGGCGGAGATGGAGGTGAAGGTGAAAGTTACGTAAGTTATGGGAACGATGGTTTCAGTGGGGTCCACTATTAGATAGTGCGAGAGTGCTGGTCAAATTAGAAAAAATATTGAATGTTGTAAGCTTTTGGTGGATTATTTCTTTACTTGATTGCCACTATCGTATATATTTAGACAACTTGGAAATCAAGTTATGAATTAATTCTATTACTGAAACCTGGTAGGACAAATGTGCTGTTTATACTAATAATTAGTTTTTTTTCAAGATTCGAAATTATTTATAATATTCTTTAAACTGTATCAGAAATCCTGAGGGAATTTCACACACAAATAAATGTATAAAACGAGACGTGTACGTAGATATAACGCTAGAATTATGCGACTCCTAGAAATCCAGGGAGAAACTCGGGATAGAAAATCAAACAATGAAGAAACATAAAATGTACAATTATTCTTTCCCAATCCAGTTTACTCATAACCATGCGTGTAACTAAAAATGTAGAAGAATGAGAAAAGTTATGAGTAAGAAATGGGTAAGATTAACCTTGAGGTTAGGTTTATGCTTTATTGCAAATAATATTGCTAGGTTAAGGTAGCAATATTATTTGCAATAAAGCATTTAAGAGTGACGTTAGTATTGCACGTGTACATATTACTCACCAGTATGAAATCCACATACTGAGTGTGGTGAATATGGATAAGAAGAGCGGATGCCTGAAGAAAATGACAAGCTCGAGAAATGTATTATGTATGTAATATCTACGTTGATAGCTGTTAATTGGACAGATGCTACTTTATTATTGCCATAATTGTGGCGTGACCACGTGTTTTTAATATACACGTTTATTAAACGCAAAGTAATGAACGAGACTAGAAGGAAGTGTAATATTTATGAATAAGTACGTAAATATGACGTGTTACTTTATTGACTGGTTGTTAAAATATGTACATTATCCTCTTGTTTTATATTTCATATTAAATTTGCCATAAAATCTGTTGCCATTACCACTTAAGGTATCTACACAACACAGAAAATAATCCGGTAATTGATAAAGTCATATATATTTAATCACCGATCTGGTAATAAAAAATTTATTACTGCATGGTAGTAAATCTATTTCCGAGTGGTAACGAATACACCACACGTGACGATTTTTTACCACTCGGTAATGTTTTTGTTACCATCTGGTAATAAGTTTGTCTATTACCAAGCAGGTGACTTTAACTACCTCTTACCGGATTATTTCGAATATAGTTTCTGTCGAGAAAGGAGTAACCAGCCATTTAAGAAATGCGTGCAAATCTTATCGCACTTACAATACGGTTATAAACATATGACTTTGTTTCGTAAATGTCTTCATAAGTTTCTCATTACCATACTTAGGATATGTATGTATTTATGTTTTTTCCAAATTACAAGTTACGTAACCCAAACTTCCTACAAACTCCTCCCACATATCAAGGACCCCAAATATAAAAAAATATATTTACATATAATGCATATTTCGTGGTTTTCGTACATATACATATTTACTAAATATTTAGGGCTTTACGAACATATAAATACATTTTTACCGATTTAATAATATTTTAACGAAAAAAACCTATTTTTCATTTATAAAGTTCGGGTTTCGTGTCATTTGGCCCGGTTTTATTCGGTCATCTCAGATCCCAGCTCATCCCTCTTTTATCCAACTTCTGATCGAAGCAATTAATCTGCCGTGTATTATTTAGTATTTGTTGGATTTGCATCACCGTTTGTTTTTTTTCTCTATGAGAAAAACTTGAAACATGCCAAAATCTGATGAAACGACGCTTAATGTACTTCTATTTGTTGTATAAAAAAATTACTTCATATTTTAGCTTGTTCTTCTATACTATTTTACTTATTTATGTTGATGAAATAAAAAATATAAGTACATATTTTAGGACCACCTAAAATATGTACTTATCCAACTAAAATATGTACTTATCCAACTCGGGAGAATTGGTATAGTTTGGTAATTTACACTGCAACGCAAAGTTGTAATCCGACGCTGTGTTAAATTCTGGCGACTTCGAGAGTGAAAACTCAAAACCATTCTTTATCTCTAACTCCTCGAGGGGTGGTCCTAGACCCCACAAAGTATATATATTCGGACTCCACTCGCGGTCACCTTTCCAAGGGTACCCCACACATGGGGCAACCTGCGACTTGACCTTGGCCCATTTCTCACTTTTTGGGGCCTATTTTCAAAAAACGCTTGATATTGGAGCAGCCGTTTTTTCTGAATTATTGAAGTTTTATGAGGGTACTTCAAAAATCCGATGATAAATTCTGCTCGAAAGTCGAGCGTTTCCATAAATATGGCTCTGAACATGGCAAATCGGACGATTTTTTATAACTTTTTTTGGTATTCTTTGAATATCTTTGCAACCAACAAGGTCAGAGGTCCAAAAATTTTGCCACATTACTAGAATTAACTCCCTAATAAACTCCCATCGTTAGAATTTTGAAATTCCACAATTTATTTTTCGGCGACCGCACCCCCAACGTCCACGTAGGCACGCCCCATGAATTTTTCTAAAATTGATTTTTGCTTGACACAACTCCTGGGATAGTGTGGCACTCAAAAAATGCTAAAACGTAATTTTGTTTTCTGTGGAACACTGTGAGGGATTTAATAAAATCTTACAACATAATAATTGCAAATTCATAACATTTGTCCCTTATCGCAGATTTTTATTCATGATAATGCAGACAATTATAGGTATAAGAGGAGTCGAGGTTTGATGAATAATCTCATTCTGCTAAATTTACCGAACGTATGTACATCCATAAATGTGTCCCAGTAATTACAATTTTTAATACTGAAGTGCTGGTAGATGATTTTAAAGCATTTTCAAGTAAATTCATGGATATAACAATGTTAAAGTTAATTAATTTGCAGGAACATTTAAAAATAACAATTAAAATATAGTAATTTATTGAAGAAAGCTAGTTGTAAAATTGGAAGCCGTGGTTAGCGAATAATATAAAAACCTCGTCATCTGAGGGATCCTCCTCCGAGGAAAATTCATCTTGACTCCCAACATCTGCCCTAGTTCGAAACCATTCCAATCGTTTGTAGCAAAACAGCCCGTCCGACTGGAGAAACTGGACTTTCTTCTTGTCCTTCTTTCTCTGGATGAAGATTGCAAATTCCCCGTTAAATTGGGACACTCGTTCCCCCCAAATCCTAACGGAAATGTCATCCTCTTCCAAGATGAGGACCATTTCGTCCGACCCTTCTGAAGTAGAGATGGTGTTGGACAGGTCGTAAAAGGCTTCGGATACTTGACCAAATTCATTAATTGGGAACAATACGTCTGGAGGGTTAGCAGAAGTGGAGGAATACAGTTGCTGGACGTGGACGAACCTCTGACTATTGGAGCGGTATGCTGAATTGTCTGTGATATAACATTTGATGGGAGATGTGATCCCATTTGCCATCCTTATTCTGATGAATCTCGCCATTTATAAGGAGGTACAGACTAAAATAATTTATACATATACAGATGAAACTAAATTTTTCCAATTTTTCTCCAACAGATTCGTGGAGCCAAACTAGCACTCCAAGCTAATTCAAACAATGCGGACTCGAACAAAGAGTCAAGATCCCTAGCATTCCTGCTGTTTTCTATAATCGTAACATTTCGTATTTGTCACATGTTCCTCTTCATGACGGATGTTTTAGCGCTCCTGTTCAAACAGGAGAATTCCTTATTTGTCAAAGTGTTCCTTGCTCCGAGTAGTTTCATGATTATTTTGAATTCTTGTGTCAACTTCATATTTTATTGCCTATTTGGGAGTAAATTTCGGTCGCAACTGTGTAAACTGTTGGGCATCCACAGTGCAAAGGATTCGCGCAATGACCCGGAGGAATGATGTGGGTGGGCGAGGAATCCTGGAGGGACGGAAGAGTGATGTAAGCTATGCGAGCAGAGGGACAGAAACGCTTAGCATGGAAAGCGTTGCAGCAGACTCTCAAATCAACAATGAGAAAGAAACTCCTAGGAATGACACGATAACTACCCAAGTCATAGACGAATAGTACAGTGGTGTTCTGTCACTTCTCGGCAAATTTTACAAAATCTAGCTTATTATTTACCATCTTTGCTTAACGGACCCACAACTTGGGACCGAAATAAAAAAGGATATGCGAGAAAGAACGTCTAAAAAAATTACACATTTGACATAATTTAGAAAAAAGTTGGAGAAAAATATTTTTCCAATTTTTATTTATTTTTCTTCTGTACATATCTTATTAAGGGGTGGAAGGTTAAAGGAAATTTCTTGGTTGATAATTATATGTCAGCTTCTCCAACTCATTTTGTAGTATTGCAAAACCCGAAAATCTTTCACTTTGACACCTTTTGTTATTGGATTTCGTCATTTTAACAAAAATTCTTTTATACCAACTGGTAGCTGGTGTAATTGTGTTTCAAAAAAATATAAAAGTAAACAATAAATTTCATTTATTGCGCAGCATAACTAATAATCGTGCGGTAGCAGTTAATAGTGGACGCACTATATATCTTATAATTTGGCATTCAAGTACCGAATATTTGAAAAGTCAAAATTAGACTGACGTACATATATAATTTATTTGCAAATAAATTTTGCACGGCTGAGAAAAGTTTGAGATGAGCAAATTGACCGAACGGAGAAGGGAAATCATTGTGTCGCGACTCTTATTTTTGGATTTCTGCATTCCTGTTTTTAAATTAATTATTTCACAAATCCTGCATAAATAAGTACGGAAATTTATATGTTGTCATTTAGTATTTTTGTATGCTAGCTTAACCACTGTGAGAATTAAGTGTAATTTTTTCCAGTCTCCTAAATAATGTGATGAGTGATGACAAGTTAAGTTTGCCAAGCAAGCTACTTTGCATTGAAATATTGCAGAGGAAAGTGAAATGTTGAGACGATTTCAGACGACGAGGTGGCACGAATGACAGAAATTCTACTGAACTTGTAAACATTGGAATTTTCTTTGTGCTGTGCAACAAATATAAATGTTTCACGATTTAATTACAGTATAATTAATTAAGTACGTTAGTATTTGATTTGGCCTTCCCTTGCAAGGGGGGAGAGCGAGTGAGGGGATTGGTTAACAAAAACCATAAGTAATTTAGTGAAGTAATAGGTTTACATTTGTTGGTAAGTTTTGCGTTTTAAAAAATGATTTTAGGCTGCCTGATATTGTTTTATTGTTTAATAGTGATAACTAATGTTCTAGTCAGAAGAGGTACCCCTAATGATGTCCAGCTACCCTTAGTTAAAATAATAGGCAAAATTAATTGTCAAAATGCGTGAAAAAATTAATTGTTGTTCAATTTTCAAAATTCAATGTCAAAAATTACCATAGGTGAACCCTATACCAAATTTGTAGTCTGCACCTCAAGGAATACGTACGAGTCACATGATCATTTTGATCCTTGACCTTTCGCCACAGGTAGCACCCCTGAAAAAGGTACGAAAACAAGAATTTTTGAAAGGTGACCTACACCAATTTTGTTCATCTCAATATGCTGATTAATACTCATTATGGTCTTACACAAAACAAGTATGGCTCAGAAGGAGAGAACGGCCCACAAAGATGGGATAAGGTCAGGGGTCGGCGCTCACCTTGACGGTTGGTCCGAGCGAAAAACGTTTGAGACAAAAAATGTTGGTCTGGTCGAAATAGTATCGATGATTACGCTTTCGACCTCAATTGGTGGGTAATTGGCAGAGGTAATTTTCAAAAGATAATCCCTCCCGTATATCACGGAGAGGTCAGTGTTCCAAATGATGTTATTCAGATTCCGTGCTGTAAGGAGAACAAACTTGGTATAAGGTTCACAGATGAGAAAATTATGTACTTTTAATAAACTTTTTTTTTAAATCGGGACTATTGAGGATTTTTACAGTTGCAGTTTTTATGAATTCTTAGTAATTTATGTACCGCAGGCTGGCACTAGAAGTGAATTGTGTGGGTGGGAAGACGAAAAGAGAGGAGAAGGAGATTTTGACTCAATAAAGTCTCCATCAACGTATTCTCAGGCGAAACTAATAACGAAGACCAAACCCAAGAGTAAGTTTAGGGGACGTTCTTAAATTACGTAACGTTTGAAGGGGGGGAGAGGTATCTGCTCCAATGATGTCGTGCGTATGTACGCCATGTTAAAGGGCGAGGGTGGGGTCTAGAAAATCGATTTTTAGCGTTACGTAATTTAAGAACGTCTCCTTAAATGTATGTAGTATTGGCGAATTTGTATAATTGATTGATAAGGTGATTTGATTTTTGTTGTTATTAATTAGTAATAACCTTTCAGCCAGCGTTGTTCCGCTACTTCTAAAATTCGATAGATATATAGCCACCCAAATGTGTATTAATATGTATTTAAATAGTTACTTATGGCGACTTGTATGGATTTCTATTAGACAATAATTAACTGTGAACTTTTATAATTATGAGGTTACTCAACATAGCAGACCACCTCTGCCTCCTGTGTTTGAAATCCTTTGACAACGACATAGGGGATGGCGACCTGGTTGAAATGAAGTCCGGAAGGAAAATAGTACTTTCATCCTTCTGCGAATTATTAAAGCCATCGCATTCAACGTCGAAAACGTGTTATCCATCCAAATCCTTGGAGGATGAATGGTGCAAATTTTGTTTAGATTGCTACCCCTTGATTCTTGACGTGGAGGAAAGTCGTCACCAAATTTCCATCTTGGAAGAAAAAATTGGGAAAAAAGTTGGTGAAATACGTCACAAAATTTCTTCGTCTCCACAGGTTTGCGAGAAAATTAAGAAATTGAGGCAAATTATACTTCAGGTCACGGGTAGAGTGAAGATTACTTATTATTTGCACAATTTAAATTTGCGAATTTTTAGTACATAAATTGGTCTCGGTTCCATTTCAGAGTCACAGAACAGTGTCGATCAGGAATATGCGAACAATGTTTTGGAGGAAGAGGTGTACGTAAAAATGGAACCAGATGTCAACTCTGAAGGTGACCATGTTGAAGATTATAGCTTTTCATTCTCCCCCACTGATGAAGAAATTCACTCAAGTAATGTAGTCAAAGTCGATCCTTCTGAAGGAGATGACGATGATGAATCTGCCTTCTGTATTTATCCATTTATACAAAAGACCGGAAGTGGGAGGCAACCAGAATCTGGACAGTCGAGGCGACTACGGTAAGAATTTAATTAAAAAAGCAAAATCATTGTTACCAGTTTGCAAAGAAATGCATATTTAAAAAAAGTTTAATTTGAAACTTATTTTTTTTAATTATAGACGTAAACGCGAACGGGAAGTTTCGTCCATAATACGAAAACCTGCCAAGCCCTGCCCAGCCTCGAAACATATCAAACTTGAATCTCGAACCTTTTCCGCTCGGGGAGGAAGGGTACGAATATCTCCCCGCGCCAAACCTACAAAAGTCGTTAAAACTCTCCAAGTCTGTCTAGAAAGACTCCGTCCAATCAAAGAATCCCTCCCTAAATCCGATCCATCATCGGAAGAAGATGAAGATTACAATCCAAAAATTTGGGAGGATGACAAGGATTGGACTCCAAACAAAGATCACTCTGAGGATGACGAAAAAGATGGAAAAACCTCCCGTCGTCGCGAGCCTGACATTCTTTGTGTCGTGGCAGGGTGCACCGTTAAGTTTCCAACTATTAAAGCGAGAAGTGTTCACATGCAAGAGGAACACGGAGGCGTTCGAATCCGAGCTCCTCACCAGTGTACCCTCTGTCCCAAGAGGTTTAGGCGCCTTGGTGAGTTCTCAGTCCACCTCGTAGTTGTTCACGAGACTGGTGAGAAGAAATTCCCCTGTGCCAAGTGTGGCAAGAGTTTTGCCCTAATGGTGAACCTGGAGCGTCATGTAGAACTGCATAAACTCGAGGGGGTGAAACCGATCGTTTGTGATGTGTGTGATAGTAGATTTAAGGACGAGAAAAAGCTAGGGATACACTTACGGATCCATGACGTAAAACGGTGTCATCTTTGCGGAAAAGTGTTAAAGGATAAAACAGCGTTGGAGAAGTAATTTGTATTCATTTAATTTTTGTTATCGTATGATCGGTAACTGTATATTACAACTTGCCCTATATTTTTCTAGACACGTGCGCACCCACACGGGCGAGAGGGTGGTAAAATGCGACCAATGCGATGCCACCTTTATCGATAAGATTACTCTGACTAGACACATTGCCAAGGCTCATTCCAGCGGCCAGGCGCAACATATTTGCCATATTTGCGGAGCCGCTCACTATTTGCTGCTCGACCTCAAAAAGCATTTGGACCGACATGAGGGTAAATTTCGAGTGACGTGTGACACGTGCGGTGAAACGTTTGCAGAGGCGCGTACCCTGCAGTCACATCGAGTCAAGGTGCATGGTGACGACCCCTTAATTTGCGATGAATGGTATTTCTTGCACACATTTGTAAATTAATTTAACTTAATTTGTTTAAATAACTAGCCCAAAGACATTCGCTTCTGCGGATGGATTACTACTACACAAGAAAAGCCATGCGGGGATTAGACCGTATAAATGTGAGGTAAGGGTACTATTTCGAGGTCGGTATGGATTTTTGTAAAACCACTTTTCATGATTAACCAAACTGGACATGTATTTAATTTTCAAATTGAATACTGTTTGCAGATTTGTGACGCAAGCTTTACCCGGAACCGACAGCTAGTAATGCACATTCGAACCCACACTGGCGAGCGTCCCTTCAAATGCCCCGAGTGCGACAAAGCGTTCAGAAATCAGAGTCAAAGACAGGTCCATATGAGGCGGAAACACACCCCTTGTGACGTCAACCCTAGACCGCATAAATGCCCCCACTGTGAACTGACATTTGAATATCCATTCTTTCTGAATGGTCACATCCGCAAAATCCACACGGGAGAGCGACCTTTCATTTGCCACCAGTGTGGAGAAGGGTTTGCCGTTAAGGCCGCACTCGTCCGGCATTTGCAAAAGGTGCATGCTATTATTAGGAACAAGAAGAGGGGGAATGATACTGCTTAAGTCTGCCAAGGATTGACGGGACACGTCTCCCCTGGGACTGGAATTAATTTATAAATACATAATTCATAAATACAAAAAATTTGTAAAATGTTCTATTGAATGACCTCTTGTTTTGTAAGCAAGGTCAAAAAATCTGATCAAATTTTATTTAATTTCTATGTGATGCGTTTACATATTTTCAATATATTTGTTCGCCAAAAAGATAATATTACATATGTTGGGCTGAACCATGAGAACATTGTGGGGACATGGGTAGGAAAGCGAGGATATTTAAGTTATTTGATCCTGAGACACACATATTCTTTTGCAAACAGCCCTAGATTTAAAAATTCCAATTTTTGATATGACGCCAAAACCTGTAACAACTCCTGTGATATTTAATAACATTATTCACGGCCCTGTGTAATATCTAAAAATCGCCTGGATTCTGTACACTCAACAAAACAACTTAAAAAGCAAACTCAATTTTAGAAAATATGATGGGCCAACGGTGAGGCAACCTTTCAGAAAGTCGAATATCAAAATGTTTTAAGTAACCGAAAATTATCCCAGTTAGGTACAATATCTGCCATAATAGAATGTAGGAAATTTCTTGTTTTTTTTTGTTTTATCCGAGTCAGTCTGCCTCACCTAAGAGTGTTATTTGCAAAAATAATTTATAAATCCAATTTTAAGTAACTAACTGCCTCACAATATATGACTGACAATATTGATGTGATTAATTCAGATCAGATTTGGTAGGGTAGAGAATATTATATAATTCATACTTGAATTATCTAAAGATAATCCAGTGTAGTACGAATAATTCATATTCGACTTTTCATACTACTTCTCCTTATTTGTTACATGTATGCATTTTTTTATAATACACAAAATATTTTATACAATTCGCAAAAAATTTGGTTGATGCATGACAACAGTACAACAAGTCGATCAGACTCTGGCATGCATATGTAACTTGAGAAAATTACAGTAAAACTGGTTATGTTGGTTGATATATGTATGCTTGCAAAAACTGTGTTTTTACACGGCACAGTACATATGCTGCTAAATATGATCTTATAACATGCTATTACTCTGTAAAACTCTGCTGGCTATATGCTAAATTACGTAGGAATTTGTATGGTTATGAAGCCTAACCAGAGAATGAATTGCAGCTGATTTGGCGGAAAGAATACATGTACATTGTATTATACCAAATTATCATTTCTGATACATTACGTTATGAATCCTCTTTTCTTGCTTTGAGATACATTTACTTTATTAAATTTATAAATTGTGTACAATACAGTGAATTGCTGTATTTTAAACGTTTAAATATAATGAGTAAATCATCATCGGGTAGAGGCCGGACTAGATCGTTTCCTGTAATTAATTAATTTGTCTATTACACACTTGAATTTCATACTTGATAATATGTAATACTGTTAAATAAAATATTCTTTAAACTAATTAAATATTTCCGTGTAGATCGTCATCTCTCCGCAGGAGGTCCGCGATCTTACGACAGAAGTTAAAACTGCTGTTGAGCAGTTGCTAAGCAATTGTTCTTCAAATGTTAACACGCCAGATTACGAAAAATTATATCGAAACGTGTACACTCTGATTTTACATGGGCACGGAGAAAGCTTGTACAATGGATTAAAATCCGATATGGAAGAAGGCTTGAGAAAGGTTTGTGATTTTTGAAATGTGCAAATATTATTATTCATAATACGGAATAAACCTTTATACTGTATGGTTAGCAGATTAGGGCGGATATTCTAATTTCGTTGGAAGATGACTTTCTCCAGAAATTGAGTCATGTTTGGGCGAATTATGATACGTCCGTAATTATGATAAGGGATATTTTCATGTATATGGAACGCGTCTACGTAGCAGAAAAGAATATCGATGGGGTAATTGACCTTGGAATGATTTTATTTCGAAATGAGGTATAAATATATTATGGTGGATACTTATTAATTAAAAATTCAAATATTTCAAACAACTCTTTTCATAGGTTATCCGTTTTCCTGCCATAAAAAATAAATTGAGGGAAATTATTCTGGAGTTAGTTGTACAAGATTTCCGAGGAGAATTGCCTCAGTTTGAATGGCAAGATTGTGTTAAAAATATTAAAGAGGTTTCCCAAATGCTAATCAAACTCGGGGTGAAGGACAATAATCCTTCCATTTATGAGGAAATTTTTGAGGAACCATTTTTACTAAAAGTTGTGGAATTTTATAAGGTATGAATTTTTGACTTTGAACGCGATGTGATTTTTTTTGTATTTTGTAAAAAACAGGGTGGAACCAATTAATTTTTTAAAATTTTATATAGATTGAAGGTGGCAAGTATTTAGAAGATAATAACGCAAATTTGTACATCTCACAAGTTGAAGATCGAATTAGAGCAGATATGAATCGTGTCCAGCTTCTCAGTCTGCATGAATCAACTGGAACAAAACTACTTCAGATTATGGAGGATGAACTGATCACAAAAAATATCTTGACTCTTATGGAAGTTGATATGGGTGGGGTTGAAGATAGCCTGATAAACCGGAAGGAAGAAAATTTTACTCGTTTACAGAATTTTGTGGGGAGAGTGGAAGGCGGCAAGGAAAAATTGGGAGCATATATCACAAGCTATTTGAATGATCAGGCTGACCCAAATTTGCCAAGTTTTGATGGACAAAGTATTTCCTGGATTGGATGAATTTCACAATGTATTTTTATTTTTATGAGATGAAATTATGTAACAATTGTGTCAATAAACAAGGCGACGTTTTGGATACGAATCTTCGTATGGTAAACAAACTTTCGTATAGTTTACAAGGCGACGAGTAATTGAAAGCGAACGAATGTATAGAAGAGTGAATTTCACCAATCTCACCACTGTAGTAGCTTTGCGCAAAGCCCATAAGGCGTTTGCACTCAGCAATTCGCACTTTGACAATGTTAAGTCCGGCGAATCTTTGGATGGATTCGTGATGTAAAATTATGGTGGTTGGAAGCAAGAGATTTGGTTTTGTGCGGCAGTAAAAATAATTTGTATCGTATTTTTGTTCATCATCAATAAATTGTACGTCACATCTTACACTGTCATGGAGGACATTATCAAGGAGACAACTTTTTTCGATACCTGGCCCTTTGTTCCCATAATCACTATCGACAAAATTATTAAAAACTGAGGCATGTTGAGCTTTGACATTTAGCATTTAACATTTGATTTGAATTATTGCTTCCGGACTTTCTAGCACGTATTCGTTTATTAGGTTGTATAACGGGAAAATATTATTTTTGAATAGTTTTTGGCATGCACTGGGAATTATAAGAAATGAAAGTGGTTCAACTTCTAACCAGTTTGATAAACTCAAATTTGGTGGACAATGTGACCATACTACTTCTTGACTTGATTGAATATGATGCCTAATTTTTTTCCCAGTAAGAAGGCGAGATATTTCTTGTCTTCAGGGTGACATTCAAACCAACACAAAAAACTTCAGCTAGTCAATTCTTCTGCCCACGTGTCAAACCTTTTGGTGACGCACGACAAGTAGATAGAAAATATACTTGTGCATTAAAAACTTACATGCAAGGACAAAATATTTACTTATAAGCTGTGGGACTATAAACTGATTTCGTCGTAAACTTGCAGAGTACTCCTAAATTTCACATTAATGTAAAATTTGGGTAGCGATATTTGTGAATGATGATAGGACTTACAATGCGAAGCCGTGAAGTGGTACGCTCGGATTTGAATGGGACCAATTTTAGTTTCTTCATCAGAAAAAATAAGCGCACCCGTATTTTTGCTTTTTCGATAATGCGTGAATTTAAGCGCGTGGCGGGAATTTCAAATATTGTCTCAGCCAAAACACCCGTCATTAAAATGGCTGGAACCTTTTGAATTTTGGCGCGAATTCAAAAAACCAAAAATATGTTTGCTTAGAATTACGTCCTCTAAAATATAAAAATCCACTTTCAAAAATTTTTGAAATTTCGAATTTTTTTCGGGATTTTGCAGATTTTGAAGTTCAAAAACCATCTAAAAATTCGAAATTTCAAAAATTTTTGAAAATGGATTTTTATATTTTAGAGGACGTAATTCTGAGCAAACATGTTTTTAGTTTTTTAAATTCGCGCCAAAATTCAAAAAGTTCCAGCCATTTTAATGACGGGTGTTTTGGCTGAAACAATATTTGAAATGCCCGCCACGGGCTTAAATTCGCGCATTATCGAAAAAGCAAAAATACGGGTCCGCTTATTTTTTCTGATGAAGAAACGAAAATTGGTCCTATTCAAATCCGAGCGTACCACTTCACGACTTCGCATTGTTAGTTCTAATTAGCTAAAATGAGTACTGGCAAATATTTCGTGTTGCCTGAACACCAAATGCCAAATTATCGATGAAATGTTACATTACTCAAAACCGGAGTTACTTCTAAGCAGGATCGGATTACCAGGTACATTCTTACTTAAAACTTCTCGGACTTATGTATACCTTCAGAAGTGAGGTGAAATAACCTGTCAAATCCTGTAGTTATAAACAATATTGAGAATGAAGGATAGTCATATGAATGAGTGTGTTTTTTATTCATTTTTTGCTGCATCTTAAGTACATGGGACAAATGAATGAACGAATGAATTATTCATTGAAGGAATAAATTTTGGATGAAGGAAAAAAATGGACAAGTTTGATCAATACGAGACATTATTTAATAACGAACTGCATGCCTGCCTCCTCCTCCTCCTCGTCACAAGTCACATGCACTTGAAATGCGACGCACACCTCGACAACCCCGCTTGCTGTATTCGATAACTCGGCACTAACCCGCATCGTGTTCTCACACACGACCTCGTACGGCGTGAGGGTGTACTGGATCGTGTACGTCGTCCCGGGCTGGACGGACGAATTGTCGAGAACGGCGTCAATAATGGTGACTTGGTGACCCATGTAAATTGCGCGTACTTTGAGGCGCAGGGAAGGTATCGGGATATTGGGGGTCATATCCCAGTGAATGGGGTATGACGTCCCAGCCATCATGTAACAGAGTGGACCCTCACAATCCGTCACCCGAAGCTGCCAAATAGTTCCAGATCCACCTGGGTTTATTTTAAAAATTTACCGCTCATTATTTACCAGTAGTTATCATATCAAAATAATTACCGGTTATTAATTATCCAAAATATTCTGCTGAATGCAATGGGGGAACTCACGTCAAGTTTGTAACCTACGTATCGTACAACCCGTTGACGTGAATTACACGTTTCGTAAAATGTGTAGCCCAAAACATGCTTTCGAAATATGAAAGCTCCTGAAAAGTGTGTTCGCCTAAATATTTTCATTCTAAATCTTCCTAAATATTTTTGAGTTTTCAAACCTTACGCATTTATTTACTAAGGTTACAAACTGTGACGTGAGTTCCCTAAAGATTTTTCTTTATTTTTTTCTACTACATCGTGTATAATCCACCACACCACAGGACGTGGTTGCCAGGAAGGCTGATAAAATCCAGATTAGCTTCATCTCTTGGAAATGTACACGAAATTGTTACCCAATTTTACGTCGTGTTCGTTATGTCTGACTGGACTGAATCAAAATATAAATGCGTTAAAATACAATCACATAAATAGATCTGTTTGCTCACGAATAATTCAACGTCAAACAAATTAACCAGTGAGGTTTTTTATCTTTCGGGAGTAAAATCACCGATAAAATTTCTGCGTCGATCATAGTACCGTGTACTGTATTTCATTCTGGATAATTAATTTGATAATTTTATTAATTTACTTCTTGATAGGATAAATCATCCAACCGAGTCCAACAAAACACGTTCTCCAATTAGTACCACTCGAGTGGAATAATCTATGCGAGCATAGGTCGGAGTACTCCGAGCTTGGAGTACGTACTCCGTACTCAGGAGGCCGAAGTATACGAGATTTGCCGGAGTACGGAGTACTCGGAGTACACACAATCTCCCATGTATTATATATGTGTACTCCGGCATCCGGAGGCCGGAGTACATGAGATTTGCCGGAGTACGGAGTACGCAAAATATCCGATCTATGTATGCGAGGCTAGGAAGGTCCAGTTGTGCTCCTCCAACATCATTAACCGTGGCCGTAGAATATGTGGGGATATTCATTTGTAGTGAGAGAGGGGTGGGGAAAATCAACCTGGAGTAAATTTTATTCAACCTTTGTTACTCCAAGGTTACTCAAATACTCTCAATCTACTAAAATTTATTTAAAGTGTAGGGAAGGGGGTTGTTTATATAACATGGGAATCAAGGACATAAAAAAAACCGTGGGGAATTGTACCACACCCTACACTTGGGCGGGCATTGCTGATAATCCATTCTTTGGAGACTTCTTTGATATATTTTATTTATTTTGAGTTAAAAAAATCCTTAATTTGATTTTCAGATTTTTACGTAAGGAAACTCACCAAGAGAAATCTGCCCGAGTAAGGTTGACGTGTCATTTATGTCTTCTAACTTTTCTTTACGAAACCGGTATTCATAGGAATATTATGTAAGAATTATCATAACGAACAAAAGTATCCGTTATCGTTATGCAACAAGATTTTTAGGAGTAAGGGGTAAATATTAAGCCAGTTGTCACACCTAATTTTTTTTACAGTGCATAAAGTTAAATGCGATGCCACTCTGGAAATTACTTTACACAATTCCATGCAATTTTGTAGCCGCAATATAAATATAGTTGTCACAGCTGGCACAGTTGTCACCAAAAATCCATACTAGATACTCTGTGCAGATAACACTTATAACGAAAACTTATAACGTATACACTGGAGAGCAGATGTCATCGCCCAAGAGAAAGTTTGCCGTTTGATTTCTCATAACTTTTTGAAAATAACAGATTTTCCAGAATTTTTTTCTGCGTTTTGTAGACAATTTAATATCCAATAACTAAGTATCAAAGAGTCTTCTTAAAAGTTTATAGTTTTCATCACAAGTGAGTAGATTAGATAAAAAGTAAAAACGGCAGGTGCAAAAGTGATCGCCAAAACGAATAAAACATTTAATATTTCTACAATTTTAAGTTTTAAATGAAAGCATTAACACTTAGTACGTTGTTGGACCTCTATTTGAAAATATGACAGCCTATCAGCGACGTTACATGGACGCAACCAATGTCTGAGGGATATCAGGGTCGACGTCACTCAAGGGGGCTTAGATTTCTGCTTTCACGTCAGCTATGCTCGAAATTGAGCGTTTTCGGATGTCTAAATATATGTGCTCCCCACCTCTGCTCAGTAGGATTGAGATTCAGTCTTTCCTGATGCGATTCGAGAACATTAATCTTGTTGGTCAAAAGAATTCACAGGTGGACTTGGCCGTCCGTTTATGTTCGCGCTCCTGCTGAAAGGTGTAGCACCCTGCAAAGGGAAGTTTTGCTGCTGATTGTTAAACATTTCTCTTTAGTAGGTTCTGGTACAAAATTTGGTGCTTGGTAGAATTGATGAATTCGTGCGTACCAGCCCCCGCGAAGCTGAACACCCAGATATCATGACGCGTCCTCCGCCATAATTTAAGATGGTGTTGAGATTTTTTAGTTTGACAGATTCTCCGACTTCTCTCCATACTCAAACCCTTCCATCCGACCATAAAACACTAAATTTACTCTAAACACACAGGAGAGTGATTCGCAAAAATTTTAATCTTTATTTGTGTGTTGCCTTGCAAATTTTAATATTTTCTATTGGTGCGTTTTTGATATGTAGGCTTCCTCCTGGCTCTATAATTTTTTTGAGCACTGAGTTTCGATATTC